GAGACCCAGCTTTCATTCTCTTGTCTGTCTTTTCTAAGCCGCCCCCGCTCAGGTTCACCTTGGCTGTGCTGGCGAGGCACACTTTAGAAAGATCTGCCTTCACACTCCCAGGGCGGGTTCCTGCCTCAAACTCCACCCTTACAGGAAACAGCTCCAGGAAACAGCTTGGGGGAGGGTGCAGCCGTTGCCAAGACAACCCTTGTAGGACTGACTTCCTTCCGCTTGGTCATGGCTGTTCATCTGTATGTGATGAAAACCACCCATGGTTTTTATATAAGTAGATATTAATGCTATTTTCAAGACACAGTCACCATGGTAATTAATATAAGGATCGAAGTATGAGATGATAGATATTATCCCCACAATTGAGTGAAGCCATGTGAAAAGACATAAATAAAGCAAATACTTAAATGTATACTAAGGCAAGAAAACAACTGATAAAGGTGATTAAATATCTTGAGTTATAATTATAAACAGGTATTTAGTGGAATATAAATCAGAACTGAATCATCCATATAATTAAAAGACACTTTCTTCTAATTTTAAATCAGAAATTATTTTTCTGATTTTATCTAAAACTGATCTTAAAGCATAAATTGGATAAAAAGGAGAACTTATAATTGCCAGTCTGGTGAGACTCAGTGCCAAAGTTTTTATGGCATGCTAGTAATTTATGTATAAACTAGAGACATGATGCACGAAATTCGTGCAAGAGGAGGTTTTCATTCCCCTGGCTGCCAGCACCAGTTTCCCTCTGGCACCTGAAACCTAGGCTTCCCTCACAGCCCTGGCTTCATCCAGAAGGTCATCAGGAAGGACGTCTGGTTGGACATCTGGTCTAATTAGCATAGTATGCTTTTATTATTATACATATTTGTGAAATACCAGGAGCCACAAAAGTAAACAGCATTGCAAGCAACTATGAATGATGCAAGTGAAACAAATACCATATAATATTATCATATTACTTGCTCTTAAAATAAATTTTTAGGTCAAGGCCAAAAATTCAATCAGGGCTATACCTGCTGTGCAGAAAATTTTCATGCAGCAGGCCTAAGAAAGTCCTTAGAAAGTCCTGCTTACCGGTAAATGCTACCCTTCAGTTGGATCCTGAAAATCTAAATCTGGGGAGGCTTTCCACCTTTCCCTAACTGAGAAGAGAGGCTCCCTGTGCCTACACGCTTTGTACAAACAATGGGGTTCATGCTGAACACTTGCATTCCTTCTGGGAATCTAGAACTTTGGTCCATGCGATGGGGAAGATGCCTATGTGACTACTGTCCTGTAAAAACCTTGGCACTGGGTCTCACCAGACTGGTGGATGACACATTTCATGTATGTTGTCAGAATTTGACACTAGAATAATTAAGCACCTCCTGCTAACGGCACAGGGTGAGCACTCTTGGAAGGTTCTGCCTGATGTCCTCCACACTTTGTCACACACACCTTTTCTCTCTGTTGATTTTGCTTTAGTTTTTTCACTGTAAAAATCTTAGGTATGACTACAACTATATGCTGAGTACTGTAAATTTTTCTAGTGAATAAGCAAACCTAGGGGTGGGTTTAGGAACCTCTAACCAAATTGCCTTATATGAAATTATTTTTGGATTAGTGTGTTATACATGATTACAATACAGAAGTTGATTTCCCATAATACCTGTCATTGATTTTGTTTCAGTCCATGCTTGTTTTCGAGTTTCCTCCTGATCTGTAACTATTGGAACAAAGACACGAAAGGGATAAATGAAACAATGATATCAGAAAAAATGTGAAACAAGCAACATTACTATTTAGTCACAATAGGAAATACAGAATTCTAATGATTGACAACATGTTCTATAGTATCAAAGTTCCAATAAAAAAATGAAGACATCACACTGACAATTTTCTCTAACTAAACAGGGTTTAATTCCCTTTTACAAGAGTTATGAATCAATCAAATAACGGGGCTAACTGCAAAAAAACTGTAGTTATCATATACTAGAGGCCCGGTGCATGAAATTCATGCATCGGGGGGCGGGGCGTGGAAAAGGGTCCCCTCAGCCCAGCCTGCACCCTCTCCGATCTGGGACCCCACGAGGGATGTCCAACTGCTGGTTTAGGATCTGGCCC